TAGTTTTTATTTAGAAGCAGGGTTCTGTGAGTCCGCATGTATCTGTGCATTTTTTGCTTGTGTTCTGTATAGTCTGCAAATATCTTTGCATTCAGATCTTGCGGTTTTGGGTTAAACAGGAGTCTGTGGTCTTTGATTAAAGACTTGTGGTCACAGTGTCCCCTCCTTACGCCCTGCATAAGGTTCTTTTGTTTCTCTGTGGACATCAGTGAAGTTGATCATTGTATAGCTCCAGGACCCTGAAACTTGTTCATTTTGGGTGGTGTGCTAGAGTATTGCGAAACTGAAGAAAAGAAAAAAGTCAAAAGCAGAGAAAGAGAGTGAGAAGGGAAGTCAGGAACCATGCTACTGATGTGTGTATATCTGGATGTGAGTTTGAGTTTCAGAAGCATACTGGAGAGAAAGTGAGGTGACTCAGTTTGCACTTTGTCCCTCATTTTGTAATGAAATAATTATTATGTATAAAATAAATATTTTTTGTTTTTGTTTTCTTTTTTCTTTTTGGTTTTTCAAGACAGGGTTTCTCTGTGTAGCTTTGGAGCCTGTCCTGGAATTCACTCTGTAGACCAGGCTGGCCTTGAACTCACAGAGATCCGCCTGCCTCTGCCTCCCGAGTGCTGGGATTAAAGGCGTGTGCCACCACTGCCTGGCTAAAATAAATAATTTTAAAAACCTGTCAATATACCAACTATCTTAAACTGTACTCTGACAATTCCTGGTAACAGTAGTGTCCCAACATCGCCACCAGCCTGAGGTGTTTTCTAAGTTACATTCCACAGCAGAAGTAATTTATAACAAAGTTTAAGCAAAACTCAAAATCCAAATAAAAACGTATGAGTTGGTTTACTCATTTTTTCTTAAAGACTTTTCTTTTGAAAATGTAGGGTGGTTTTTTATCAGGTTTACAGCATAGATGCAGGCATGAGAAAGGAGTGCTAATATGGTAAAACTCAAGGTTACAATGGTTCTGGTCCTAGGTAAGCAGGGTTCATTGGTATCTTTTAGCATCTTTGCCATATCTTTAGAACCTGCGTTGGCCCTCGAGGCAGTTTTGGCAATATCGGTTGTGGTTTTTTTGTTTGTTTGTCTTTTGTTTTTGACTCAGTAAGAAGGGCAAAGTTGATTGCAAGGCAAGGAGGCTTCTTTTCTTTCTCACATCTTTTTACTCTTTCCGGTTGTTCTGTCTTGCCTCACTGGAACTTGGAGATCCTTTCTGGGAATTAGGCTTGGTGCCTGTCACTTAGTGGGTCCTCTGTAAGTATCTGTAGTCAGTTGAATTCCGGGAAAAGCTAGGGCTAATGAAAGGACAGGCAGGCCACTGCTGCTGCAGCCCTTGAGAATCCTGTGGAGAACCCAACTCCATGGATAGTCTCCTTGGAAGAACGGTTGGGGACCTTGGGGAGCTTCTTCTCCTAACATTGCATTTGCTGTCTCTTCTAAAGCTGGGGTATGTGTAACCTGCAGCCCTTTCCACAATGTACAGTGCGCAGAAGTGGGTATTACCCAAAGCCACAAGCTCTTTGAAGAATATTCCAATGATTATTATAGCTCCAAACTGGAAATGCGGAAATGCCCATTAGTAGGCAGAATGGAAAAAAACAGATACTGTATTCTTTTTCATTGCTAAAGGCAAAGAGATATTTCAAAATAAAAATGGCATGAGAAAAAACAAAGGTGTCCCAGTATCCACCACCCAGATTTGATATATTTTGTTTTTTTCTTTTTCTAATTTAAGGGCTGGAGGCTTCCATTAGCAGAGCTTTGTGCTCGGAGTAGAGTTGGGCAGGTTGAGTCATGTGATTATCTTCCTGAAATCCAAGAGTGGGATGACCTGAGCTTTCTGTGCACATCATCCCTTGATGCGAAGTGAATTGCCTGTCACTGGCACCACACAGAACAATCCCAGGTTAGCTGCAGATGAAGCAGAAGGAAGCCATGCTTTCAGCTCCTGCGTGCTGCAAAATTGAATGCCTTGCAGTATGTTAAAGGACAAAATAGCTTTTCTTTTACAGTGTTTAAAGTAAATGTCTTTTTTCATCAGATTGTTGTGGAGATACTTTAAATGTTTTGATTGTGCTAATGTGAAAAAAAAAATGAATGAGAGTAGTCTTGATGTTCACAGTGACAGTTTTCACTGTCAGCAGGGACACAGTTCCTGTCACTTCCACCGCACCAAGCTCACAGGGATGCAGGGTGTTGAGAATAGGATTGTCATGGGGCTAAAGATGAGTCTGCTCTAGTTTGTTAGAAGAATCATTCCTAAGTTTCTGGTCTTCACTGTTAGCAGTAGTGATTGACTTATATGGCTCTCCTTGTAACTGCTTGTCATAGGGCTGTGCCCAGTGAGACTGGATCCCTGTCCCCACCGCTTGCTCACTCATTACCTTAAGTTGCTAAGCGCAGAGCCTTAAGCCCATTTTGACATAATTCTTTACTCTAAAAGAGATACTGACTCTATTTACAAATGAGCAAGCGGGCCTGGAGAGGTTAAATACTGTAAATAGCAGAGTCATAATCCAAAGCTAATTTTGATTGGCATCAAAGCTTTAGGTCCTAACTAGTCACTCAGTGGGGACCCCTCCTCACTTTCATTACTCTGGTGAACACGATTAATAGAACAGTAAAAAGGTTGTTAAGGTTCTAGTAATGATTTCCTCAGTGCTTTGCAATCTTACCTGATTTGTCCTCCTCTGCTGTCTGCGTTAGTTGAGGCTGGATCTTGATCCCGGTTCACAGATGAAGGCTGTCAGGAATCATCATGAACTTACCCAGATGATGTCAGGCTGCAGGTTGTACCATGATCTTTTAAACATAGTTCATTGTTTTTCCCTGTGTGTTTCCACTTGATCTTTGGTCATTTTGGATTACCTTCAACCTCATGTTTAACCTGAAGATTAACTCTTTCCCCATCTTTCTTTATATATATATATATATATATATATATATATATAAAGATATCTTTCTTGACTCTTTGGAAATTCACATCATGCACTGCAATCCCACTCACCTCTCAGTCCTTCCATATCTGCACTGCACCCCTGTAACATGCCTCCCCGAAAGTTAATTGAAAACAAAACAAAACCCACCTCATTCCTCCATCTTTCCAACACCTCTTCATTCATCCTAGTGGCATCGGGAGCTGCAGTGTGTCACTCAGAGTACCCTTTATCCAATCAGCTCCACCTACAAAATGTTCATTGCAATGAGTCATTGGTCTGCTTCAAGGCCTCTGACACACCACTGAGCCCTCACTGAAACCCTCTCGGGTATCCTGCCCTGAGACATGGAGATCCCGAGGCTATCCTTCTGCAGAACCAGTCCTTTGGTGCACTCCAGCAGGTCATAGGACAGTTTTTAGGGTAGGTCAGCCCAAGACCTAGGATGTGGGTCTGAGTGGTAGCTGAGCTGGTCAGTCTGGGCCACTGGGACTGCCCCCCCCCCAGGTGAGGGGCAGAGCTAGCTCTCCTAGGCCCATGCCATTAGGGCCAGCTCTCCCATGCCTGTGGTGAGGAGTAGGGCCATCTCTCCTGAGTGCAGAGATCAACTCTATCATGTGGGGAGGGACCAACTCTCCTGCTGCAGTGTCTAGTAAGGGGCAGAGTCAGCTGTCTTAGGGCCAGTGAGGGACAGGGCTGGCTCAGCAAGGCCCTCGGATTTCAACACACATGGTTCCTATTACCCCCTGTGGTAACATGAGCTATGGACATCAGCCCAGACCCTGGCTGCTGTTGGGCCATGGACCTAGACACGGTCCATGGCAGTAGCCCAAGCCCAGCCCCATGGTGACACCCATGGCCCCAGGTGGCAGCAGGGGCCACTTAGATTGGTATGGTCCTGGCTGCAACATGGCCACAGGTTGTGGCTCAGATCTTAGGTATCCATGTGGCCTTTCGTGGTGCCATAGGCCATGGACATCAACATAGATCCTGGATATGGTAGGACCAGAAACCCAGACATGGTCCTTATCAGCTGCTTGGGCTTGGATGTCACCATGGCCCCAGGTGGCAGCACAGGCCACTCAGATTGGCATGGCCCTGGTGGCAGCAAGGCCCTCAGACACCAACATGGCCCCAGATGGTGGCCCAGACCCCGGGCATTGGCATTGCCTTCGATGGTATCAGGAGCCACAGACGTCAACACAGACCCTGGCTGCAGTAAGGCTACAGACCCAGACATGGTCCTTGGCAGCAGCCCTGGCCCAGGTGACACCAGGCCCCAGCTATAGCACAGCCCCTAGACACCAACATGGCCACAGGAGGTGGCCTAGACCCTGGGCATCCATGTGACAGCCTTTGGTGGCACCATGGGCAAGACATCAGAGACCCTGGGGCTGTGGTAGGTCCATGGACCCAGAAATGGCCCTTGGCAGCAGCCATGGCCCAGACGACACCCGTGTTCCCAGTTGGCAGCAGGGATCACTCATTGGTGTGGCCCTCGTGCCAGCATGGCCCTCCAGTGCCAACATGGCCACAAGTTGTGACCTAGACTCTGGGCATCCATGTGGCCTTTGGTGGCACCATGGACCGCAGACATGGTCCTCATCAGCTTCCCGGGCTTGGATGTTGCCTTGGCCAGACCGCTCTGATTGGTATGGCTCCAGTGACAGTGTGGCCTTCGGACACCAACACAGCCCCAGGTGGTGGCCCAGAACCTCCCCGTCTTTTAAGAGGGAGATGTACCATGCTTCCTATCTCCCCCTTGTCACAGATTATAGAGGATTATTGGGCAGGGCAACCTTAAATTCCTGGAGCTATGCAACACTTAACCTACACATACATCTGTTGAGTCACTTGTGCCTTATGGTATGAATTAATAGGTTTTTTTTTTGTTTTAAAGATGTATTTACATGTAAGATTATTGTCCTGATGTTCTGTAAAGGCTACGTTTTTGAACCCAAATAGACATCATGACTTTAAGTGAGATTTTTAGGCTGTGTATGTAAGTTCAGTGTTTTTCTGGAGTTACAGTAGCTGACAGGGCCTGTTCTCGGTTGCTTTGAGGTTGCAGCTGCTCCATGGTGGTTACCTGTCAAAGGCGCTAACTGGAGGCACCCAGAGGGCCCAGACTCCAGTATTCTGCACAGGTGAGTCTGGTCATGCCCAGTTGATGTGGTTCATTAAAAAAAAAAAAAATCCTTGTGCTTTTGCAGAACTCAACAGCTCTCTTCACACGTAAAGTGAATGGTAAGAGTGGCCAATCGCTCCTGGGGAGGAAAGTGGTTGGTAGGAGATAATGTATGTAAAGACCTAGCCGCTGTGTCTAGTTACAGAAGGCTTTGAATAAATGGCCTCTTTCTTGCTTCATTTGTCTTGACAGAGTGCCTCGTCACAGATTTCTTCCCTTTGTACAGGCCATCACAAATCTCATGACATGTTTACTCAAAACAGTCTATCCATGAATGAGTCTTTATGTGGGAGAAGAACTGTCTTATGGATAAGTAGTTGTGTCCTGCCAGGTGGCCTTGGGTATAGGATCTGTGTGCTCTTTAGTCCTGCAATGACATACTTAGAAGCCACAATCTGACTAAAAAAAAAACTGAGTGGCAAGTCGGTCAGCAGGTCTCTAGGGTGACAAGGAGGTAATTATCTTAAGCAAAAATAGAAACGCATGTTAAACCCTGGAGATGAAGAGGGGTTTCGATTATGTCTCAGCTTCCCAACAGTCCAGGGACCGTGCTCTCCTAACCCCATTCTTCACATGGCGTGTTAGGCCTTAATTTTCAACCACATTCCGGGTTATTGCCCTTATGGTCAGGAGGTGGGGAGTATATGAAGTTCAACTTCAGAGACAGCCTCTTGACAGATAGCAAACTTTTCCCAGTCTGAGCTGGCTTCCTCTAGAAATAGACACTGAGGTAGAAAGCTGTAGGATCCTTGGGGACCTGGGAAGAACTGGACTTCTCCCAATTCGTATCTTCTTTCCCAGATCCAAAGTTGATCATCAAGCTCATTGAAGAAAACCTGAAGGAGGATGCATTTTCAGTTTGTGGTGCTGAGAATTGAACCCAAGGCCTTGAGTTCTACTATTGTGCTGTACCCCCATACTGGAATGTATTTTTAAATTTATATACTAGATGCTGAGCTACTTAGGCACATTTGTTGAGAAAATTAATGAATGTCCTGGTAGGAATTCAGATACGCATGAGGAGTGGAGTGGGCCACAGTCTAGTTCACTTAAAAAAAAAAGTGACCGGTGATTTCAGTTCCATTGACTTCCCCTATCCTCTCAGGAAAGGCTGACTTGGGATCTGCTAGAACAGTGGTTCTCAACCTTACTAATGCTGTGACCCTATAAACAGTCTTTATGTTTTGATGACCCCCAACCATAAAATTATTTTCATTGATATTTCATAATTGTAATTTTGTTACTGTTATGAATTTAAGTATAAATATCTGATATGCCAGATATCTGATATGTGACCCCTGTGAAAGGGTTGTTTGACTCTCAAGGGGGTTGCGACCCACAGGTTGAGAACCACTGTGTTAGAGTGAGGCTAATTGTGCTGGTTGATCCTTATTTAGTAGGATAGCAGAAAGATGCGAAGTTTAAAGTCAGGTGTCTGGAAACAGGCTGAAGTAAGAGTTTGTCATGTAGAATGTCTGTTAGCAACCCACACTTGAGCAAGGGAGTGGATGCCAAAACTACATCCAACAAAGTTCTGGCCCAATTCTCATGGAGCGCTGAGGTGTGTACAGCCTGTGGAGCTGAGTCTCTGTGGGCCCTATTGAGATGGGGAGAATGCCCCTAAGATGCCCCTGACTGTTCTGCGGAATGCTAAGGGAGCCAGAAGCATCTTCAGATGGCACTTTCAGTGCTAAACCAGCGGGGTGGAGCTTCCCTGTGTCCACCATCCCCCTGGAATCTGTGAGCATCCAAGGCTGCAGAGCTGAGAAATGCTTGAGTGCAGTTTCAAGATGAGCTGTGACCCATTAGGGAGTCTAAGACCTCAAAAGTCCCCAGTGGACAGTACAGATGTGTCACAGCTAGGCTTTGAAGTCATGACCAGATGGAGGGGGACCACGATCACTTTCTGAATCTAGTTCCTGTTTTCTGTTCAGGTCCCTGTCTCTTTTAACTGTGCTTGCTCCTCCTTAGGCCAAATCACCCAGTTCTCCATGTCTCCTGGAATGATGCCATTGCCTACTGCACGTGGGCAGGGAAGAGGTTGCCCACGGAGGCAGAGTGGGAGTACAGCTGTAGAGGAGGCCTGCACAACAGGTACTCATATCAGAAGGCCTTGTGTTGTCCAGCAGTATGCTGACATTCTCTTCCACCCCCTCTCCCTCCCCCACCCTCCTCTTTCCTCTTCTCTTCAGCTCTGTGGAACTTGCTGCGGTCAGAAAGTTGATTAATAACAGCTCTTATTCTCGCTGGCTTTTCTTCTTCCTTGTGAGGCCCTTTGGTGACACTAGTGAGTGAGTCAACAACTCTTTACAGTCCCTAAAGCCAGGTATGGGGCCAAGTGGGCTCTGCAGCCCCAGAGTAGTTCTAGGCGTCCATCCCCACTTGTGTATCCCTCTTCAGAGCCGCTTGGCAGGCCGCCCTGCTTTTATTATTTTCTTATTTTAGCTGTCTTCTGAAGCAGTGCTATTTCTCTGCTTCTACAGCCATAAGACAGAAAACTCATGTGTGGGTCACATCTTCTAGGAAAAGCTCCTTAAAATAGACAAGATTTTTTTTTTTTTTTTTTTTAAGTGTGGTGTGCTGTGCCTGCTCATGCTACCATATAAGTCCAGAATGATGCCTCGTTTCTCAGATTTCTAGAAGGCTTCTTTCAGTTAGGTCATTTATCTCAGGCCCTTTCACTAGTGAGGAGAGACCGCAGTTGTTGTGTCTTGACGTGAGTTGTTATAAGGAAATGTTGAGAAAACTGATTGGCAGCTGTATGTGTGAGTATGTCTTCTAAAGGAAAAGTTTCTCAGAACACATGTGCATTGTTTGTTCTCTTCTATTGCATCCTTTCTCTTGACTGCAGTCCAGAAGCTTGTGCACCGTGCTGATGCCTGTGTCTCTCCTGCTAGGCTTTTCCCCTGGGGCAACAAGCTGAAGCCCAAAGGCCAGCACTATGCCAACATTTGGCAGGGCGAGTTTCCTGTGACCAACACCGGGGAGGATGGCTTCCAAGGAACTGCGCCCGTGAGTAGCCAGTGTAGTTTTTTGTTTTTTGTTTTTTTAACTCTTTGGGGGCCTGCCACCCACCTCCCAAATAAATACATGGAGAGTTATTCTTACTTTTGAATGCCTGGCCTTAGCTTGGCTTGTTTCTAGCCAGCTTTTCTAACTTAAATTATCCCATTTCTCTTTAACTGCATTTTGCCTCTGGACTTTTTACCTTTCTTAATTCTGTATGACTTTCTTCCCTTCTTACTCTGTGGCTGGTGCTGTGGCTAGCCCCTGGCATCCTCCTCTTCCTTCTTTTCTAGCTCCTCGCTCTCTTTCTCAAGCCTAGATTTCTGCTCCTACTTATTCTCTGTGCCTGGCAGCTATATAAAGTATAATGAAATAAACTTTAAATTTGTATTAATAAACTAAAATCTACAGGCTGCCATGCCTATTTCTCTCTCCTGTCTAGCTGTTGGCTGTTCAACTCTTTATTAGACCAATCAGGAGTTTTAGGCAGGCAAAGTAACACAGCTTCATAGAGTTAAACAAATGCAACATAAAAGAATGAAACACATCTTCGCATCATTAAACAGATATTCCACAGCATAAATGAATGTAACACATCTTAAACTAATATTCCACAACAAGCCAGGCTTCTTCTAGAGGAGGACAGTGAGTGTCCCTGGGAATTGAGGCACTGTAGAAATGGGATGAAAGAAACAGGTGTTGCACCACATGCCTCTAATACCAGCAGTTGGGAGACTGAGACAGGAAGATCAGAAGTTCAAGTTAGCTACATAGTGAGGTCTAGGCTAGCTCGAATTATATGAGACCCCATGTCAAGAACACAAAAGCAGTGCAAGGGAAATTCCTCAGTTGGTAGAGGTACTTGCTGGCAAGTGTGGTGACCTGAGCCTTCACCACCTAGAACCCTTATAGTGGGAGGAGAGAGCAGGCGCTTAAAAGTTGTCTCTTGGTTTCCACACACACACTGTGCCATGAGCATGTACAAATACA